TCCCATGATAGGTGAAGTTAAACTTTTGGAATCGATAAATTTCCTTCGCTGAGTGCCTCGCCATAGCGTGCGATGTATTCAACTGAATCTGCGACGCCCGGGGCCTGCATACACGATCAAAGTCCTCTAGGATAGTAGGAACATTCTCCCTTGTGACATGGTCTCCAAGGAAAAGCCGAAATCCCTCTGCATCTTCAATAGCCTGGCACCCTCCCTGTCCCTGATGGGGCGTCATGGCGTGCGCAGCATCGCCGATGAGGACCGTTCGTCCTCGAATATACGTGGGTAAGGGGTCCTGCATGCGGAGTTGCCAGAGCTTTATGTTCTCGGCTGCACTGTAGTCATGACCTACATGTTAGCGTACAAAATGTTAAGTATCAAAGAAAGAGGCAGAATACCGGAAATACTCGAGTACCCAGTCCGGAAAGTCCGTAAACAGCGAGATCATCTCATCTCTGTCACCTGGCGCAGACCACGAGTCAGATGACGCTGGGGTCTTGAGCATATTGTCTGGTGCGAGCACAGCGAAGTTGAGGATCTCGTAGTTCCGACACGGGTACATGATCACTCGCCGCTCCGTAGGATCGAGGGCGTATACACCCAACAAAGTGCCTAATTTACTTGGGTCCATTATCTCGGGTACTTCTCCATTGTGCAACTCGATGACCTTCTCCCGGGACATCGTGAACCGGAATGCAGAGGAGCCCGATGGCTGAGCGGTGATGTATGCGTCGTCGTTGACGACGGGGCCGCGCATGATGGATCGGATGCCGTCCGCGGCTGTTCATTGTTAGTATCGCAACAGGAAAGGGAGCATAGAACGGACCAACAACAAGATCCGCCTCTACCACCTCCCCATCCTCCAATATCAATTTCCCCTCATCAACATCCCCATCTACAACCCTCGCCCCAAAACGCACTGTCGCCGGTTCACCACTCAACCCCAACTCTTCCGACGGCGCTGTAGCTAACCGCAAAAGCTCATCTCGCAGATCTACCCGATGATGAAACAACCAGTCTGTCCCGAACTCCTGGACGTAATCATGGATGGATTCCCGCGTGAGCTCGCCTTGCTTGTTGTACGACAGTACCCGAGTCACTGGGATGGAGCACGCGCGGCGACGATCAAAGTCAACACTGTTGAGGATGTGCACGGCATTGGGGCCGAGGTTGATGGCGGCGCCGGCTTCGGCTTTGGCGGTTTCGCGCTCGTAGATGGTCACGGTATGTTGCTCGCGGAGGATGCGGGCGGCGAGACAGCCGGCGAGGCCGCTGCCGATTATGGCGACATTCAGGCTGTGTGGTGTCATTATTGGGTGATTTGTTGGAGTGAGGGATGGTTTGGGAGTGAGTACGGGATGGAGGGGATAGTTGAAGACAGGGATGGAAGGTGAGGTCATGGGACGGTTCGGTTGGTGATGCATGCCCTTGCGGGTGTGTCTTGCATCTGAATGATCAGGGGGGGTAGGGGAAAGATGCAAGGGTCTGTGAGGAACTTTGTTAGATAATGAATAGTGATTCGTTGGATGCAAGTAATCGTTCGGGTATACTTCTAATGAGAAAGTCTGCTAATTGGTAAAAGTCCCACCCTCATTACCCCAAATCCAGCTCAGGTATACATTAACAATAAGAGTATCAACAGGATATACTATAGATAACGCCAGCGCCATCGCCCAAATCAAATACTAAATCCAGATCATATCTCGTAAGCTCCCCTCTTCATCAAAGCCTTCAAGACACCGACCACTTCATTCCTCTTCTCCTCTTTCCCCAGCATCTCCAATGCCCTTCGCCCCAACGATGCCCCATCACTGCCACTATCCGCTTTATCCTCACCAACTGTAAACGTCTCCCCGCTATCAGTAGTCATGTTTAGCCCCGCGAAGACATTGGTCCCATTGGGATGCAAGATGCCGCTTAGGGTGTTGCTGATCAGCGACCCTAGCGGCACTTTAGCCGTCATGGTCAAGTTCTTCATGACCTCCGTGTAGTACGGGACCTGAACGCCCTCGTACTCGACGTTCGCACCGACGGTCGTCAGACTCAAGTAGCCTTCTTTGATGGAGTCGCTTTGTTCACTTAGTATAGGGCCGATGTTTTCGATGAGTTTGCCGAGATCCAATATCCCTCGTACAGGTGTGGAGTGGTTGCCTGGTCTAAGTACGAGGTTGTTGAGAGTGCAATTTCCAAGGGTGAGGTTGCCGCTGAGGAGATTCAATGTGGTGTTGCCCTGGTTTCGGTTAGGGTTGGCTGTAGTGCAAATATATAGATGGGAAAAAGAAAGAAGACTCACGATTTCAAGGGTCATCACGGAAGGGTTGGGAAGTGTGGCGTTGGCGATCAGATTGGTACCGTCGGATTCAGCAGGGAGAAGAAGTTTTGGATCGGATATGGAAAAGCCGGCAAAGGAGTTCAAGGCTGTCATATTGAAAAATGGAATTAGCAGTTGATAGGTGTATTGTCAGGAGTAGGAGGCGCACTGTTTTGCTTAATGTCCTTGTTCAAAGTAATCTTGGACTTCAGCTTCCCGATGTAAGCAGTGACGGGAGCCTTGACGGACAGTGGAGCATGAGGCTCGAAGACAACACTGCGAACATATTGTGTCCATTGGTAGACATCCAAGGGAGTGAATTGGTCATCAACGGTAAGGGTTGTGTTCCCATTGATTGTAGCGCCGTCCATGTACAGCTTTGCCCAGGTGTTGTTCTCCGGGAGAAAGCGATTGAAGAGGGAGAGCGTTAAGTTGTTCATGCGCACAGGGAAGCTAATGGGCAAGTCCAGGGCAGAATTGATGCTGAGCTGGATGGAATTGGGGCGTGGTTGGAGTACGTCGGCGCTAACGAGGACGAGAGTACCATTGTCCAGGACTCGCTGGGCAATGGCGGGAATAATCAAGCAAAAGCTGATGAATCGTCAGTTGTCGCCCAAAACAGGATGAAGGCAAACTAGAAAGAGGGAAAGCATACAAAATGGGCAGAAAAATTGCCAGGAAGATAATGCCCCAAAATGCATAGCAGCACCAGAACCGAGCCCAATGGCGACGCAGAGTCTGCGATCGCGTACGCTTTACCGGCTCCAACGAGATGGAATGGGCCGTCTCAACATGTTCGATTTCCAGGCCTTCAGTGGGCAGAGGACCACGATGGATACCCAGGGCGTACTTGGCCTCTTTGGAGGCGAGATAAGTTTTCTTCTCGTCCATGGTGATGTGGCCCTTGCTGCTGGGACGGTCGCCGGCGAAGAGGGGCGGGAACCGGGGTGCTTGATCTGATATACTAACGGCTGATAGTATGGAGTCATTGGCAAATCCACCGACTAGTTAAAAAACTTCGCTATCGTCGTGATTCTCGTATACACCTGCCGCCCTCGGAATGCAACCCTCAAGCCCCTGCCATCTCTCCGCAAGGATCGTCCCGGAACCCGTCGATCAGTGTAAGTGGGAAATTGCAGGCCCAATGATGACCCATGGATTGGGTTCACATGCGGCCTGGTCAGGGCGACGATCCGCCCGACTATTGAGAACCGCGGTTGAACGTTGTTTTTGGAGCCCGGTTTTGGTGGTCGCTTTTAGGGCATAGCTCGAATTTGGGTTGAAACGGGGGGTGATCCACTGCTTTCTGGGGACTTCGGACTCTTTGCCCGATGGGGATGCGGGGATGCTTATCCGCAGTCCTTTGCAAAGTAAATCCTTGGTCAACTGATACCCTGCTGTGAGAGGTTTGTTGGTCTATCAATTCGCAGGATCGATGATTGATATGCTTCCTCGCTTGCAGGCCGCGGATGTGCCTGTGCCCGTATATTCTCGTACCCCCTGCAAGCTGCTGCACCGGCATGTGCATCGAGCTGCTTTTATCAGCGGACGCCATTAACCATCAATTTGATTTAATCGCACCTGCCAGACCAAAGTAGTAAACCACGCAGCTACTGACTACCACCCATCCCCAAATCAAACAACAACTCACGCAAAATGGACGAAAAAGCCGCCGCCACAGCATCAGACCGCATCTCCCCGGTCTCCTCCCAAACCACCACTGTGACAACCAACCATCTCGAAGCCCTCGATAAGCTCGAAATCCTCCCTCAAATCCTCCAAGAAGGCATTCTCTTTGCCGGCTCCGGCGCCGCTCTCCTCCTCCAAGCGGCTTACCCCAACATCAAATCCGCCTTTGAGGAAGCCAACAAAACCAAGACCGAAACCATCACCCCAGCCAACACCAGCACCGACAACAACCTCGCCAACGACCTCAGCAACACCCTCCAAACTGCCCTCAGCTACATCGCCTGTCTCGTCTTTGGCACCAAAGAGGAGAAGAAACTCCTCCTCGACCTCCTCCAAAAAGACAACGCCCCTCTCCCCACCAAACTCCCCTGCGACCCCCACATCCAGCTCTGGCTCACAGCCACCCTCTACGCAACCGCTACCGACTTCTACCAGCGCATCTACGGCCGCGTTGACTACCGCACCGCCGAGAGAGCCTACATTGAATTTACTACGATCTTGTCCTGTCTCAATATCGCCAAGGACGTCTGGCCGCCCACTCGTCAGGCGTTCTGGACGTACTGGGATGACCAGATCGAGCGGTTGAATGTCAGCGGGGATGCGCATCTCTTCGCGAAGGATCTTCTGAATCGGACGGATTTCCCTCGCTGGGTTTCAACCGTGAAGCCTCTGCTAAGGGTCATTACGATTGAGATGCTCCCGCCTCGGATTCGCGAGGCGTATGGGCTCAAGTCGTCGGCTAAGACGAGGGGATTGTATCGTGGGACAATGGGGTTCTCGGTCGCCGTGTATCCGGCGCTGCCTGCGTCGATGAGGGGGTATCCCTTGAGGTATTATTTGGGGGAGTTGAAGGCGAAGTTGAATGCTTAGCTTGCTTTTCCTTTTCTTTGTTTCATTTAGTTATCTAGGATAGTTGGGGCTTTTTGCTATGGTTTGGGCTAGTACTTTGGAGTAATAGGAGCAATTAAAGCATTAATATCGTTATCATCATTCTCATTCACTGTACTATATCCTATGTACTACTGCTTGCATATCATGCAGTCTTCATAATAGCCGTCAATAACGCCGATACATCAGTTACCAACTATACCCCCTCCATTAGCATTACAACCTCTCACGTAGTATACTCTGAAAAAAGAATAGAAGCTTACCGGCAACGCATCCCCAATCAACTCACTCGTCTCATTAACAAACGACGTCGTCAACAGCAAATCTGCATTATCGATGATATTCTGCAACTTGTCGATATTGCTACTCGACAACAACTTTTGCAGATTCTGAGGCGTATCACCGCCCAGTAGCACTGCTGCCCCCTTGACGATCGTTTCCAGATTATCGACTGTGTCTTGACTGAGGAGTTCCTTCAGGTTGTCGATGAGGGATGGGAGATCAGATAGTATGCCTGTGGATTGGGGGCTTCGGGGTCCGACCGGGTTGGGGTTGGGATTGGCGAGGGTTAGGGAGATTGGAGCAAGGGTGGTGCTGAAGAGGAGGAGGTGTTTGAGATTCATTTTGATTTTTGGTGTTTGGTTTTGGATTTGATGGGTTAGAATTGAGATTGGATGGATTATGAATTGGTAGGGGGTATCAGGATAGTTACTGTTGTGTGTTTGATTATATGGACTGTCGCTTTATACTATTATAGGGGGGTTATTAGTAGTATTTCTGGGCTTGCTTATCGGGCCTAGAATTGAGTGAGACTGACTAGTACTATGTAGTACTAGTAGATAGTAGTTTTTCGAGATCCCTTGCCTTGGAAGAGGGAGGGAGGGAGAGCGGGCTTGTTGGCCACCATGCCAAATACTACCTCCGAGGATAATCGTGTTCCTAGTTATGGACAATCTGACCTACATGTGAACCGAGCAAGGAAAGGATAAGCTCTAGCGCTCTGATGTCTAGGAACTAGCGTATGCTACGCTACGCCACCGTTTAATATCAACACCCCGCATCTTAGGGCTCACTAAACTGTCGATCACCCCCGGCGTGGCCCAATAGCGGCGTGGTGCCTCCCGCAGGAGCAGGAACCAGTTAATCTATTTTACTGTGGCGGAGGGAAAGCGGGAGAGGGGAAACAGGAACATGGGGTTGTTCCTCGGACCGAATGGTACATGTGATTTTGCTTGTTCCATTTAGCGAATGCACGATGAATATGTGGTGTCTATCTTGCAGGATGAGGAGGAGGGGGATGAGATACTTTGATCCTGAGTGCTGGGTTGGGTACCGTGCGTCTAGATGCATGCATGCACCTCCTCTCGTCTCGTGTCGTGCTCGGAGATATGTCTGGATTGGGATAGTGTGGGATCTAGACTGGGATGTTCAGCGATTGTATTTGGGAAGATCTAATCTCATGTTCATCACCCAGTTCTTTGGTGGTAGCTAGCTTGTTGTTGGTGTGGTTGCGGTTCTGGCCGTTCTTGGCTTGTGCGCAAAGTGCCATGTTTCTTTCCCTTTCACCAATTTTGAAGTGCTACTGGCTCGATTAGTGCAATGGTGATTGTCAATGGGAAATTAGCTATGTTTGGAGCTAGATTGTTGTTGGAATAAGGATGTTTTAAGTACCTGGGTTGAGTGAAGGCTCTTTTTTTGGGCCTCGTGGTGGGTTCTCATTATTGGGTTCGGGCGGCTCTTGCTATACTTAGCAACGACGGTTCTCGAAGATGAACGAGATGTGCGGTTTCAGGGTGATCATTAGGCTGGTGAGACTAGATCATTCTGGATATGTTTTAGTCTTATCCTGAAGGGATTGATGGACGTGCATGGGGTGATCGATGTTATAAAGGGGAAATGCCCATATTTGGATGGCTTGAGGTCATTTTGTTGGTTTGGTGAAACAGCAATGGTGAGACGACTAGACAATTTTCTAGCAGTGATAATCCAGCCAAAGATAACGCTAAGAAAGATTTAACTCGCAGCAAAGTTTCCTTCTTGCGCTTCTGATTCTTGCGGTATTCTGCAGGCTGCAGCATCTCTAGAGAGCATCCGGTCGTGATTATTGCTCTCAACGAGAACCGACACGGCACAATAGGGACAAGGCTTTCCATAGGGGAGAATGGATAGGCAAATGATCTGCCTACTCCGTCCGTTCCCTCATCGATCATGAGTGCAGCCAGCGCTGGTCCACTACGAGATATTATTCGACCGCTCAAGTATCAGCTGTAAGAGTTACAACTAGAGACTGTAGCTCTCTAACAGACTGCTTGGACATAGAAACTACAAAACTTTCAACGTTGGTTTCCAGATCGTCTTACTGCAACAATGACATACACTTTGAATATGTGAGGGCCGTCCCAAAATAATTCATCTTCTCTTATCCAAGCTCTGTCGCAGGGGATTTAAATGTAATAGATCAAAAGCTCCCAGTAACAGAGTCTTTATCGGTATGCTGAAAATCTAGAAGAACCTGAACATAGCTGCAGGTAACCTTTACAGAGGCTAGAGGTATCGCATTTTTACATGGACATGTCACCATATTCCCGAGTTCATCTTGGTCTCACATATTTTAGAACAGAAAGTCCCGCCTGTCTTGCCATTTGATAGGCGCCATGATATGACATAGGGCAGTTTTTCTGCCGGTGGGTCATTGAAGGTTGAACCACTTCGTACTGTGCTGTCTTATTCGTAGCGTTTGTGTATACAGTGTAGTCCACTCCGAATCTGAAGTGGACAGAACACAAGAATGTAATTGTTCTCGCAACGAGGAACCCAGCATAACATTAACGGGCATACATACATTTGCCAATCGATCAATAGTATCAAATCAAGTGCCTTTGGATCTATAGTACCTATGCACGTGACCCCGTGGCATTTGGACCTGGCATCCAGACGCCTTTCATTACTGACGCGTCAAACCTCCTTCAGTTTTGGTATTACTCGCAGGCGCCCAGCACATCCCTAAATTGGCTGGGGTTTACAATGAAATAATGCTACGAGATGTCAGATAGACCCAAGCGCAAGGCCACTGATGATCCTCACAGTCCTTCTGTACGTGGTCACTTCAGGCCGCAACCAACGATAAGATGGTCAATCGAGCCCAATTCGATTGAATCATTCTTACGCGATAACAGTCGAGACCGCCTATATGTTCCTCCAATAGCCTGGACTTTGAGACATTTGCGGCTCTTGGGCTGCAGGTTCACTCTGCAGACAAGCAAGAGGAAGGAGCGCCCACACTCGCAAGTTGTGATATCGGATTCGCCCGTTCACGATCTCCGAAAACCGAATCTGCCTGCAGACCTCCGTCGTGCGATGCTGCAGTTTGGAGGGCGAAGGACGTCAGAGGTCAGGAAAACGGCTATCAAAGAAATAGTCGGCGCCTATGGTTTCTCCCGTCTCAGGTAGTTGACTTGGATGCCTGCTTCGACCGACCTTGCTAACAGCCACAGCTATGAATCTTTGTCTTTCTACTTCCGCCAGCAGCCTGTCGCGAGTGTTTGGACAGAGGGGGTATTCTCCCGCAAATCCACTGGTCCATCTCTCGCCTATGTCACATTCGATGGAATACAATCCCGTCGGAGCAAGTTCGTACACAACTCACCGGGAAAGGGATTCAACGAGCCCGTGTTTAGGACATGTGATAAAAAGCTGCGATCTCTTCAGCCAGAAAATACTGTCGAAGATCCATATATAATGGGAATCTTAGTCGCGCTTGCCCAAGAGCAGCGGCGACACAGACAGATAAATGAGCACGACGGGGAAGAAGCTGCCGAGTGCTCAATCATGCAACGTGACGATGGACACACAACCAACAGCACATCTTCTGGCACGCCACCTCCTTGCGGTACCGACCGAAGCCCTCATAACTGTGGCCAGTGTCTCAGGGTATGTAGCACATCACGCGAATACATCATCACAGCTTGCTGAAGAATCTGAAGGTCGCCGTCCTTGCCACTTCTGGGGTGAAAGACGAAGGTCTATACGTCTACACCGCTTCTATCTCTGTCGCGTTTCTTAGGAAGTTTGACGAACAGTGGCGCTCTTCACCGAGCCCTCCGGTTATGATAGAATACTATTCTATACCTCTTAGGTCTCCTACGAAGTCGCTGAACAAGCTGCACCGAGTACTCTGTGCTGAGTCGTGCCGCTTTTGTGTCCGCGATAGCCCACAAGCTCTTGGCTGAGCTAACGAAATCTGAAATAAGACCTGCTACCATTATAACAAGGAGCATGAAAGAAAGCGTTAACCCGCCAACGATACTTCCATATGCCCGTAAATCTCGGCTAAGGCCAAAAAACCCGAATTTGATCGCGGTTTCTCCGAGATAAGGTTTAACCATTGGTGCCTGTCCACCCTTGAATCATTGAAGAGCCCAGAATTCTCTTCAGAGACCCAAGCATGGTACGTGAAAGGAAATCTGTCGTGCTCGACATCTAGAATCCAGGCTCAACTTTGTTTGATAGTCAGGAGGGGCATCCGCTCTGCTTCTCTTCATGCTCTTTTGATAGCATCACAAGGGATAGTGTCATAAAGTCCGCTTATTGACGATTCACAAACTGCAAAAAGAGGTTGGGAACCCCGAGTCGGTAATTGGCGTTTTGACAGTAACATGACTCCAGTGACAGCCATATCTCAGAGCAAAATGTTTACTATTATACACACGAGTGGCCGAATCTTTGGTAGAAGGCTTGGGCGGACAGGGTTGTTCCAAGTCCCATATCCCTCTTACTGCAGTTGCTTTCCGTCTACGTGATAACCAGTATAAATCAAATATCATGGCTTCTAGTAAAAAGTTGTATAGGAATGCGTTGGAATACTTCCGAAGTTCGATAGAACCCAAAGTAATGGTAGATATGCAGTAGGAATAAACAACCTCGATATTATCAATATGTACAGCGAACGGTCATCATCATGCAACGCTCTATGGCAAGAATAAAAAAACGACTGGCAATTCCTACTTGTCAAGTGATACAATGGCACTCCGAAACTCCAGGTAACCAGTGATGACATTGACGAGCCAGGAATAAGGATATTATATAGCTATAGCATAATGCTAGTTCAGCTGGACGTAGTTTGCTGGGTACACAAGTTAGCAAGCTTGTTTTCAGGAATGACAGACGGTCATGCTTACCAGGAAATTGTCCCTCTCGTCCGTCAACACGGCCGCTCCACCACTCATTCTGGTTATCCGTTCGCTGGGTGATCTCGATGACATCACCAGCGGAGAAACTCAGATCGCCGTGCGCCTGGGCCTCATAGTCATATAGTGCCGTGACCGTTTCGACGGGAGCGGTGAATCGAGCGGGCTTAGGCTTCGGCGGCGGAGGGGCGGGCTTGCTCTTCGCAGCGGCGGTAAAGCTGCTGCCTGCAGTGGCAGAGTAAGGCGGCGGGGGGTTTTCGACAACATCGGGATCTCGCTGACGTGAGGCGTAACCACTCTTGCCCTCTTGCGCCAATTTGTCCTTGGGGGTAAGCTTCGAGCCGGGTTTGCGCCCGCCCGTGGCTTTGAAGTGGACGATGCTGAGTTCCTCGGCGCGCTCCTTGACGTCTCCGCGCTTGTTCTCGAACGCTTCCTCGATGTCCAGGTTCAGATCGAAGTAGCCGATATTGATGCCCTGCATTCGCTCGTGCAGTGTGTAGAAGACGTTCAGTTGCATGTAGTAGAAGGACTGGAACAGGGGACGGATGAATTCGGCCTCTAGGGCGAACAGCTTGGGCAACTCGTCCTTGAGCAGGTCATTGTAGTAGTTGTAGTCCTGGGTCGCTTGCTCCACATCATTTTCAGCCTTGTAAAGCGCCTTCTCATCCTTTAGCGACTTGTCCTTTTTATCTTGCAGCTTCTTGAGGGAGTTCTTGTGGCGGTCGTAGTCCAATTTCTTGTGGTCTCGCTTCACCGCGACTTTGCGGATCACCTTGATTACCTCCAATAGCTGCTGTGCAGGGCTGATGACGCGGGTGTCGATCATCTCTAACTCGGGCACCAGCGATTCTTGGAGGTCCCGCACAATCGCCTCGTATTCCTCACATGCCCGGATACCCTCCGGATTGCCCTCGATTGTATAGGAGCTAGGATCGGAAGCACGACCGGAGATGGGTTTGTAGAGTTCCGTCATCGCTTTGGAGAATCCGATCTGGTGGTTCAACATGCCTAAAAAAAAGGGTCAGTCAGCGAAAAGGAGGGGTAGCTGCGAGACGGGGGGATCCGTGTGTACCATTGATGGCATCGAAGTACTTCTTGGACTCATCGTGCAGCTTCTTGGTCTCCTTTTCGAGTTCTTGAAACCGCCGCTCAGCGTCCAAGTAGACAGGGTCCTTGGTATGCTCGCCAATATTGAACTTGGCCTTGAACTGTTGTGGAGCGCGGACAATGCTCTTCTGAAAGCCCTTCAAACTCATCTCTGATTGGCCGCAGGTCGCCCAACGCCCGCGGAAGGGTTCGGTTTAGGAGAACAGGAGAGTGGTGGTGGTAGGAAGTGGTGTAAAGGGGTCGGGAGACGGTCGCAAAGGCGTAGGAGCGTCGAGAAAGTTGAATAACCAAAGCAGATCAGACCAGGGATCTCGTGGTAGGCCAGAAGTGGGGAGGAAGTGCCTTTTGTTCACGGCAAAGGGACTAGTGAGGACTAAAGAATACTGGCTGCCGGTGACGGTTAGACTGCCATGGTTCGTGGCTGAGCTATGACATAATGCTCTGCCTGCTCACCGTGGCTGAGTTTCAATTTGTGGCTCCCCCTTTCTTGTTCGTGTTTGGGTGTTGGTTCCAGTTGGGTTCCTGGTCAAATGGTAAGGCTGCAGCAGGGAAAGAAAAAAATATGGAGTAGCCTGGAGACTATAATAGTAGTAAGTAAGCAAAAAAGGTTATAAGATCAGCCCCTCTCCAGGCTCCAGAACTGTTTCTTCTCTCTCCAGACCCCTGAAGAACTTCGATCCCAGATGTGGCTCAGGGTCGGATCATAGGGCCGATTATTCAGCCGGGGGGGCTCGGAGTGTCGGAAGCAGCAGCAGCAGAGATTCTCCATGGCTTTTGCGGTGTTTGTTAGGCACCAGAGTATCCGGTTGCACTAGTGGCCACTATCGTCAACACAGACCTCGACGCCCAAGAATTTTTCCCTCGTTTTCCGCCGGTTTCTGCCACATCAATGGTCCTGTGCCCCGTGATCGGTCGAGCGTTGGTTGTCACGATGCTTTCTTCTCAGCTCATCAGCCATCAGCCGTCAGCCGTCAGCCGTCAGCGGCCAACACATAAGGCTGGGTCATCCCAGTGGGAAATCCGGGGAAATTCACCGATGACGATGCTGTCGGCCAGCAACATCAACGGGAATCAATGATTGTCTCATAATGAATGTGGAATGTGCGCCCCATAGCTGTGTGCCTGGATTCGGCCATCCCTTTTAGGATGTTTCGTCTGATCAATCCAACATGCCTTCTTACATTGGCATGTGCATTGGGCGATGGGAGCCAAGCATAGGATTCCTGGAGATTATAGACTCATCTTAGACCCGTCTTACGTTTTACCTCACTACATAAGCCAACTCACTAATCAACTTCTCCGTAGTCGCAGTTGGTCTCCGCGGGAAGCTGGCGAACTCCCCTTATCAAAGGGCCCAAGTAACACCGAGACCGAGCCCCAATGGGGAAATGGCCGGACTATCTGATAAATCCGATCGGGCCTAGCGGGCTCGGCAATGATATAACCGGATCCAAACTTTTTCCCACCGGGCGAACTCGTCGTCCCCCTGCTGTCATCTTCCCTTGGTCATCAACTGTTCATCCATCGTGTATGGTACAGTTGCAGATTTCATTCACATCATGTCTACTATGACCCCTACTGCCTTGAGACAGGCATCCCGGGCTTACGCCCGTCGGCTTTTGTCGACTCCGCATGGCTCTCTGACGGCGTCCCTGCCCCGGCGGGTGGTCGCCACCAGCGCTGCTATCCCCAGACGCTCATACGTCTCCGAAACCAAGGCTGGAAATGCCCAGGTTACGGTGGACACGGCCATCAAGCAGGACCAGAAGGCTTTTGTGAACCAGACTGGACTTAATGCGCAGAAGGTTAACCTTCCTGGCTCGGGCATCTCCGGCGATGCGTCCATGAGCCCTACCGCCGGCATTCTGAAGCAGGCCACTGTTATGGACCAAGGCACCCGCCCTGTCTACCTCGACATGCAGGCAACGACCCCGACGGATCCCCGTGTCCTTGACGCCATGCTTCCCTACCTTACCGGCATTTACGGAAACCCCCATTCCAGAACCCACGCCTACGGCTGGGAGTCCGAGAAAGCCGTCGAACAAGCCAGAGAACACGTCGCCAAACTTATCGGCGCCGACCCCAAGGAAATCATCTTCACCAGCGGCGCTACTGAGAGTAACAACATGAGCATCAAGGGTGTCGCCAGATTCTTCGGTCGCTCCGGCAAGAAGAAGCACATCATCACCACCCAGACTGAGCACAAGTGTGTTTTGGACAGCTGCAGGCACTTGCAGGACGAGGGATTCGATGTGACATACCTGCCCGTGCAGAGCAATGGATTGATCCGGATGGAAGAGTTGGAGGCGGCCATCCGTCCCGACACTGCCCTTGTCAGTATCATGGCTGTCAACAATGAGATTGGTGTCATTCAGCCCATGGAGGAGATCGGAAAGCTTTGCCGCTCGAAGAAAATCTTCTTCCACACCGACGGTGCCCAGGCTGTGGGCAAGATTCCCCTGGATGTCAACAAGCTGAACATTGATTTGATGTCGATTTCCAGCCACAAGATCTATGGCCCTAAGGGTATGGGTGCATGCTATGTCCGCCGTAGGCCCAGAGTTCGTCTCGAGCCTATCATTTCCGGAGGTGGACAGGAGAGAGGTCTCCGCAGTGGCACCATTGCCCCCCACCTTGTAGTCGGATTTGGTGAGGCTTGCCGTATTGCATATGAAGATATGGAGGTACGTTCCACTTTTCCTTCTTTCAAACTCAACCTTTCCCAGTCAAGATGTTCCCGCGATGATTATAAGCTTTAATATGTATCGATTAACTGAGGCGCCATGGGGGTAGCGACACGCTTTGCGTGTCCCCATGGCGCTTTGACGACCGTAGCAGGGGTGATGAGTCGGGTTGTTGCATTTGCTTATTGCGAGACAGCGAAGTCGATGAGAAAGTGGCTGACCAATCTGCACAGTATGACTCCAAGCACATCGCAAGGCTCTCGAAGCGCCTGAGCGACGGCCTCTTGGCCATGGAACACACCACGCTCAACGGTGATCCTGACCGCCACTACCCCGGTTGTGTCAACATCTCCTTTGCCTACATTGAAGGCGAGTCGCTTCTGATGGCTCTGAAGGACATTGCCCTTTCATCCGGCAGTGCCTGCACGTCCGCCTCCTTGGAACCCAGCTACGTCCTGCGGGCCCTGGGCAGCAGCGACGAGAGCGCCCACAGCAGTATCCGGTTCGGTATTGGCCGGTTCACGACCGACAGTGAGATTGACTACGTGCTCAAGGCGGTGCAAGACCGCGTCCACTTCCTGCGGGAGCTGAGCCCGCTGTGGGAGATGGTCCAGGAGGGTATCGATTTGAACTCGATTGAATGGAGCCAGCACTAAAACTTTCTCTTTCTGTGTTAAAGACTGACTGCGAGGGCGGTTATATGGTCGTATACCAGGCGCATACTTGTTGTTTCTTTTCCAGATATCAGCGGTGGGATGGCGTTCATATAGTGTGTAACATTATAGGATTGATGACGATCTGTCCAGTCTGTACGAAAAAAATGGATATTAATGACCAATCAATTGATCGACCTAGAGAGATGAGTAGTATGTAGACAGACGCCTTATCGGCAACGGATAGTACTTAAGAACGATCAGATGACCTTTGGAGTGACTTTGAGTGATTTGTGTCTGTAGTTCTCAGCGAGTCATGCATATATGGACCATGACTATGCCCCCAAGGTATTGATTCATGTGTAGGGTATTCGGAGAAAGTAATGTCGACAGATACCCCATGATCTAACTAGTAGTACTGGCATCCCGTGATTGCTTCCATGTCTGCTGACTCACGAAGGAGGCACCAATTTGGGCCAGCTGCAGGTGCTGCTTGATTGGCTGTACAGTAGTAGTAATAATGTCACGTGATTGACGTTTGACGCGGAGAACTCCCGGCGCCGAGGTAATCACGTCTTGCAGTGGAAAAAAGAAAGACAGACGGAAATTCTCCGGTGGATGGAACCAGTTATGAAATGTGCTTATGTCAAAGACTAAAGACAATCATGCAGATCAGTAGTTGTCCAACCAGCGAGGTCGGAAGTCGAAATAAGATGGGCAGCTCCGCACGGGGCCGACCAACTCACCGCAGACCCGAACGGGGTGGCGTGGGTGGGAGCGAATACGCCCCCCAGCTCGCTTAACTGCCCGATTTCGCACTCGGCCTCCCCTCCCACGCAGTCCCGGTTCATTCTCTAGCACTCAGCCTACTGGAATCCGGTGGACACCCCTTTCGCTCGCACCCAGTCCTCCCGCTGGCGCTGTCCCAAGGGCCTCATCTACTCCAGATGCGCCTGCGCCCATCAACTTTACCCATGGGATGGATCACAGTTCACGCCTCCCTTCTCCGTCGCCGCTGATATGACGGATATCTTCAACCATGATTCCCCCAAACAACCTCAACTCTGTCTCTCAAACCGCCCGTCTTCCTGGCCACTGCCTTTTCTTCCAGAGGCAAATGTTCGCCTCTACTCTCTCCCGTCTGGCCTGGACTTAAGTTGGTTCCGGCCCACTTGACCTCTGGTCACTACGGTCCATCCACGGACTAGTCAACTGTCCTACCCTTCACCATGGGTACAGAATATACTACCTCCACGATCGCTGGCTCTACCCCTGTTTCGTGTCGGTCGACGGTTTCCGGGTGACACAATCGCCGTTATTACGGAATGACTGGCCCTGGGTCGCCAGGCTGATTAATTCTCTCGTCCGGCTATTCGGTCCTCGCGGCTTTCCTGGGAACTTGTCCTGGTGGAAAATGGTCGCTGATTATTTAACTTCGGGAGAGGACCATTGTACGATGGGCTTAGTTTGAGCAAATTTTCCTTCCCCTTTCCTTTTTACCTTTCCCTCCCTCATCTCGCCATCTTTTGTGTCCAAATCTGTCCCGGTTGTTCCCGTGACCTTCACAAACCTCACTTTTCTGACGATTACCAGACCTGGCGTTGCCTTTCGTGCCTGGTCTCCTGCTCTGAGCCTTGCTCTTCTTGCTGTGACCTGGGTCAGATCAACCGAAGCCTTGTTTTCCTGACTGCATCGCAGTTGTGAGGCGTCCGTAACAGGCCCGACACGACACCTACTTCTGTTTGTGTCCGATCTTGTCAGCTTTTACTTGGTCGGTTGGGATCTCGCCTGCTTTGTCGCAGTGTGTGCGTCACACGACTGTTGCTTTCCCTAGAGATTGTCCGGACTCACGTCCGGGCACTGGAACCTCTCCTTCCTCCGGGCTTCCATATTATTCCGCTCGACGTCAAGTCTCGGACAATCAGCGAACCTTACGCGACTGCCCTCGCTGTGAGCCCACTCGCACGTGAGCATCTACTACCTTAATATTAGGCGTCGTCGCTGGCTCTTTGGGCATTTCCATTCACCCCGACTCGTATATTGTGTCGTTTAGGTTGTTTTGAGCCGTCCCATCATCATGCTTCCTCCGATCCCAGCATTGGCGGACTATGGCATCTCGGCGGATCATGGCTTCCTCCCTCCAGAGCCACCGCTTGAGATCTTGCCAGACCCTTATTATGCCAAGTGGGAGTGGGTCGTTTCCAACCTGCAGGCACTTCTGACTAGCCGGAGGATCCGGGAGGTGGTCGACCATATGTCCACGCTGTCTACATCATATCTCCAGTCGGAGAACGAGTGGCGCAGGGCCTATGTCGTACTGGTATTTATGCTGCATGGGTATGTGTGGGGGGGCAGCAAGCCGGCAGAGGTAGGTAACACAAAGCTACAAAGTGGTTCCTGAGCTAATTCTGGTGACCAGAAAATCCCGCCTCAGCTGACCGTCCCACTATTCGACGTCTGCGAGCACCTGGGTCTGCCACCCGTGGCCACTTATGCAGGGGTGTGTTTGTGGAACTATAAGCCTATTTTCCCGGAGGAATCGATCGATGATTTACGTAATCTGGACACCATCAACACATTCACAGGGTCTTTGGATGAGAAGTGGTTCTACCTGGTCTCAGTGGCTATTGAAGCTCGTGGGGCACCCTCGATCCCGCTGGTGCTGCAAGCAATTGCAGCGGCCCGGGCTGGAAACAGTCTGGTAGTCACCGAATGCTTGCAGCGACTTGCCGAGGTGCTGGACGAGGTAGGGTCGCTGCTGGAGCGCATGTACGAGCATTGCGATCCGTACGTGTTTTACCACCGCATCCGGCCCTACTTGGCTGGGAGCAAGAATATGGCTGATGCTGGTCTCCCGCATGGTCTACTATACGATCATGGAAACGCGCAGCCCGAGTATCGACAGTATGGCGGCGGTAGCAACGCCCAGAGCTCACTGATCCAGTTTTTTGACATCGCTCTGGGTATTGAGCACCGTCCGACCGGGGAGACGCGTCCGAGCAACACCCCGATGAAGGACGAGAAAGAGGGAGTTGCTGGAGCACCTCGTCACGGGTTCATTCAGGAGATGCGTACATACATGCCTGCAGCGCACCGTCGTTTCTTGGAGCATGTCAATGCAGTGGCCAACATCCGGCAGTACGTGGAAGCACGACGGTCGGACAAGGCACTGTGCATTGCATACGATGCATGTCTGTCGATGCTTCGGGCAATGCGCGACAAGCACATCCAAGTCGTATCCCGCTATATCATTATCCAATCTCGGGACGCTCGATCCAGTCGCCCAGCGCGCGCTACCAGTCCCAAGAGACCCATCAACTTGGCGACCGCCCGAAACGGCGAGAAGCCAGACAGCAAGAAATTGCGGGGCACGGGTGGAACAGCCTTGATCCCGTTCCTGAAACAAGCACGGGACGAGACGGGCGAGCCAGCGATCGATGCATGGGCCCGTCGGCTGTTGAGCACAGGACCGTCAGAGTCTAGCTTTGCGGCGCTGAGCAAAGTGGACGAGGATCACGATGGACATCTCCAGGTAGTGGGGCTGTCAGGAACATGGGCAGCGGATGACAGTGAGGGTGGCATATGTCATTGGTAGCATTGCATGGAATAGATGCTGCATGGTTTTGTTTTTGTTTGTTCATGATTCACTAATGAGCGGGTCGGTGCATTCTCTATCAGCATTGAGACAGCCGATGACGATGACGATGACGAGGGGGGGATGATCGATGTACATAGAGCGATGAATAATTTGATTATGACGAGACTGATGAATGCATGAGAGATTGGACGTCATTCCTACTTGCCTGTTTGCCTCCTTGCCCCTTTTGTTCCTGTTGCGGATCTATTTTGGTCACTTCGACTCTGCCGTGCCTGGCGATGACGTCGGTGTTTGACGTCATGTACCCCGGACTCACCACCACCATCTATCTATAAATACACCCACTACATCAACACAATCAATACAACATCACAACAAGAAGCAAATAACCACTACTACACTACACTACAATCAATCTACTACTCTCTATTACCTTTCTCAATACCAACACTACACACCAACAACCACAATGTCCTCCACCGACTCCCCCAACAACAACAACACAACCACCACCACCTCGACCCTTAAATCCTACGTCGACCAAGCAACCGGCATGGTCCAACGCGCCGCTGGCTCCCTAACCGGCGACTCCTCCACCCAGGTTCGTTCCCCTTCCCATCCCCATCAACATCAACCCCACAAACTAACAACCTCCATTTAGTCCACCGGCTCTGCCACCCAATCCCGCGGCGAAGCCGAGCACAACGCCAGCCACAACAACTTCACCAAGCTTGGTCCCGTTACCGCTGACCCTGCCACGGGCGCTGCGGCCACAGACCACCCTCAGCGCAGCAACGGCAGCTGGGACCAGACCGTCGGTTCTGCGAAGGAGTCCCTGGGCAATCTGATTGGAAATGAGGGGCTGAGGAAGGCTGGACAGGAGCAGAATGCGGCTGGAAAGCAGGCCGAGGCGGAGGGCCAGGTGAGGGATTGGAAGGAGGGCGTTGAGGGTAGAGCTAAGGGAGCTGTGGGGAAGGTCGCTGCTGCGGCGACGGGGGATGAGGAGGAGGAGAGGAAGTGGAGGGATGTGCATGATGAGGGGAAGGTTAGGGAGAGGGGGGTCGAAAGTGAGGTTCAGAAGAGGTATTGATCACTCCCTCCGGATGAGAAATGGATGGAAGGGGGTTGAAGTTATGTGATACGACAGTTTGATATGGGAATGGCGTTAATTGATTTGCTTTATCATGCCGTGTGGCTTGTACCAATATTACGCACTATGAAGCAACCAAGGGTCTATTTTTTAACGTATTCATATTCAATGTGGTACATGACGATGTAGTACAGAGAGGCTTTAGTAAATCATATATAACTATGTATCCACTCGTCCTCCGCCAACTCCCGAGCAGAACTACGCTTACTCGGCTCCCACTGCAGCATCTTTTGCATGAGACGCAAAAATGCCTCCCTCTCTGCCTTTCCCTCCAGAGTCGTCTCCCTTTCTTCAAGGGGGATCCGTTCGGTCAATAACTCCGGATGGAGGAAAGCACCTATACTCGTCAGTCAATGGACTTTGAAAACTTTCTGAATCTATAATCTACCTTCATTTGAGAAAAACTCATCTCTCAACTCCCCCTGCGCAAGCAAACTCTCAGGCGGTGGTCCAAGAAGATTAATTATCTCCGCAAAATGCGCTCGACTCCGGTACCTCTCATCTACAGGATCGTATCCCGTAAACAAACAACCACCTTCGTAGAGATCCCAAACCTTTTCATCAAACATAAGCAGGCTTCCATAGTATAATAAGGAAGATTATCTTACCATGCACCCCACATTCCATATATCAACACTATACGTCCACGGAACTCCCAGTATCACCTCCGGCGCTCGATAAATCCGAGGCTGAATGAATTCCCTCTGATATTCATCATTGATGACCATGGCAGAACCAAATCACAGAGCACGGGACCACCAACATCCTTGGGTAATTTGAGTTCCCGGGACATGTATATTATTCTGTCATCGACCTCTTTCCTCGGGATGGGTCGTTGGAGCTCGTTCTCTTCGATGTCAGTGAAGACTGAGTCATCGTTGATGCCGAGCATGATGTTATCCGCCTTGATATCTAAAATATCGCAACTAGTGAGAACCAAGAAACCGGATAGATAGTGGACTACAAACCAGTATGCGCAACCCCACACTCCGTATGAAGGTAATCCAACGCCATAAACAACCGATGAAGAACAACAGCAAGAATCACCGAAGGTAACCTTTTCACCGAGTTCCGGCGCAAGAAGGTTAGAACACTCTCCCATAACGGTGGGTGCTCGAGACAGCGATGCTTATCCCCCGGCCCGTTGATATAGAACGTATCGAGCAACGTTCTTATAACATCGCGACCGGGATGATTACTTTCAGACTGCTGTTCCATCCGTCTATACATATCGAGCTCGTCTTCAACGTGCTTTCCCATACACTCCGCCTGGAGGAAGATCTTGAGCATGACATAGCGACGGTTACTGTAGTGATAATTCATGTATATAGTAAGCATCAAGATACACCCTTCAGCAGATTACTAACAGCAAAGGAAATCATGAATATCCCACTCCATGTCCCGCGCAAGCCACGCCGTCGAAGTCAATCCATATCCTAATTTACCAATGACTTGGTACTGATCTTTGATGACTTCTCCTATTCGAGTGGGATAGTATTGTGAGGCGCTATATTCGGGGAGAGTCTCTTCTTCTATTATGTGGCAATTGGGGATTCGGGTGAAGTTGGGGTTGTTAAATGCTAAGGGTTTCCAGCGTCGCCCTAGCTGGGATAGAGATCTCAGTAGCGCTGAGCGCATGATTCAAGGTGAAAGCGGGTTTAACGTCAACGGGCATGTATCTGGCGTTAATGTTGACCATGAGAGCGGAGCAATCACAGGGCGGGTCTACAGGAGTAGCGCGCTAGGCTGAATGCGGAAAGACTAATCAGATCCACCACAATATTTGGGACCGGAAAAAAAAGACCCTCAGATGGAGTCTGAGGAGGCAAAAAATTGACCTACGCAGGACTCGAACCTGCAATCTCTTGATCCGTAGTCAAGCGCCTTACCATTGGGCCAGCAGGCCAGCAGATATATCTGGCTGGTTATTTATGGCTTTATCAGCCAATGGTACTGGCAGCGCTAAGGACGGCTAGTCGAGGATAAACCATTGTATGGATATTAGCTTGGGGCTCAGATATTAGAGCTCTCCAGTTATATCTATGTCAATAATACTAGTAATTGTGATGAGTGAGATGAGCACCATGAAGGAGATCAAGCAGTAAAAAGGCAATCCATTTGGGCACTGGCTCTCTAATTATCTCTATAGTGTCTACCAGATGGTCATCACTTTAGAAATCTACCACCTTTACAAACCCTTGCCATTCCTCCCAAGTCTCACCTGAGCGAGAAAATCTCGGCTGGGCTTAAGGTCTTCCATATCGAGGAGCTCAATGTACCGACGCGCCGGCATTTCAAGACCCTCGACCATGTGGCTGTTCGGCTGTCCACCATCACCCATCTGTTTCAGCCGGAACACATTCCATTCCCAGGGGGTGAGATGATCATCAGGCAATCCATCTGGATGACAATTGACTGCCTGGTTGAACATTGTCTCGAAGAATCGTGGCTTTGAGAGAATCTGAACGGGATACGTCCCGCTCTTCCAATGCCCCAGTTGCGGCAAGCGAGGGTCCGTAACAGCCATGTAATTCCGATCCTCAGGCCCTGGAACACTCAGTCCAGGATCAGGCAGCTTTGGATCAATATCAGACTTCTTGTACACTTTGAGCGACTCACACCAAAACGGAGGGCTACCTTGTGGGCCATGTTCAAGGTGAAAATGATAGGGCGCCGCTGATGACGCTTCTTCAGTTAGAGCATCGTTCTCCCAGTCGCAATTCTCGCCTCCTTTGCAGGGCTCGAGGCCGTTGGTACGGAGAGCTTCGGCTGCTTCGTGTATTTTTGCGTCGGCGACAATGAGGGTGGTTCCCTGCAGACTTGTGTTAGTATCCTTCCTTCTTCTTGAATGTTAGCAGGATATGGGTGAAGAACAGAACTTACCAGCCTAACGGGAATCTCGACGCCGTAACTTTCCAAAGCGACCTCTCCAATGAAAGCACAGGGTATTCTGGCCTCTTGCAGCCAGATTGTAACCGCTTCGGCTCACTTCATCCCAATCTTAGCTGGCTCCATCTCGAACCAGGGCACTTGCGATGAGGGATTTGTGGAAGCCATTTTAGATTGCAGTCATTTATTTGTATAGCATCTGCATATTCTCTTTGGTGGATGTCGAGGGTCTTTTATGGTTACACAAGGTAAATAGTCTTCGAAGCATTTCATTTCTGTCTTTCTTATTTCGATTTGCTAGCGGAAATTCGCTGGAAAGTTCTCATTGTCGTCGGGCATGATCCGACTTTGTGAGTAGATGTCTAGCATGATGAAGACAAGAGGCTATTCCCTTAAACGTCCATCCTGTCGGTACTTCACGTGGTGGATAAATATTGTTTAGCTGTGATTGTGTAGAACCTTCAATGCACTAGCAGAGTATCTTCATTAACAGAGTTGAGGTTCACACAATGTAACCTATCAAGTACTGCATATGTTGGGCAGGTTCCTGCTTTCTATTATTGAATGGGTCATGTACCTCTGATTATTCTTTTGTTTGGTGACCCATGTACCATGTAGACAGTAGTATGTCTCACATAGTGGATGATAAGGGGCCCTGAGGACAATGTGATGGGAGTATAGCCCTATCTGTTCATCATTGAACAAGGGCAACCACCGACAAACGAAGAATAGCCAAGAAGTCACATATTGTCAACCTTTATTGCTCGTCAGTCCTAAGCTCTGATCCACTTACCCAGACATACAAGATTCGAGATCTACCGCGAAGCTTCACTACGTGAAGATTGCGAGCCATACCTCAATCCAGCGGCCATTGATAGACCTAGAAAAAATAACACCCAACTTAAAACCTACACCCACCCAAATCTAGCCCGTTTCACCCTTTGTCTATCTCCCATCCACAATAGGTTACACCCGTCCCCTCTATTCCCCCAAAGCATAGGGCAAAATCCAACTCTAAAATTGAGTCTCGAACTAAAAGCCCAGACTACGCTTCAGAAGTTCCCCTAAGTATGGCAGATCCCTCAATCTTAGCCCGGGCCCTTCTCCACGACGATCCTATCCGTTTATTCCCCTCACACATCGGATCTCGGTCCAAGTTGGAACCAGTTCCCATGCATATGATGATGTGCCCCTGCACCCTAACTGTCCCAGTCCCAGTCCCAGTCCCAACCCATCCCGTCCCATATACTATTATCTACTACACTCCACCCTCCAGTAGTACCTCTCTTTCTACTACTTCCTCCAACACCACATCAGAACCAAATATACCAACAGAAAAATAATATAATAGTACCACCATCAAAATGCGCCTCTCCTCCCTCTTCCTCCTCCCCACCCTCCTAGCCACCACAGTCATATGTGCCCCCGAACCCATCCCCAATGTGAACCTCAACGACAATAACCTCGTCGCTCTCGCGCAAGCCTTGTACGTGCCTCCCATTCTCCCAATAACCTGACCAAACCAAACAATCCCACATAATCAGCGATGATTATATGTTTACTGATAATCTCATACAGAAAACCTTCCCTCCCCACACAAACCCAACCACCACCCAACCTAGAGAGCGTCTCCCCGCCGCCACACGCCGTCGTGCATCAAGTCATCACAGCCGTTCCTCCCACGGCGCTCGCGCAGCTCTTCGTGCCCGCGAAGCGCGTCGCCATGGCAAGTGAGTTCAGCGCTGGGAATACCCCCGAGTGGTATAAGGCGCTGCCGACGGACGTGCAGAGTTACTTTGCTGAGGTGAAGAGACAGATTGCGGCGACGGGGGTGGGTGAGGCGAAGGCTGCGGAGGAGACGAAGTCGAGTGGTGGTGGTAGTGTTTCTGCGTCGGTGAGTAGGTGGATGATTGGGTTGGTTGGTGCTGTTGCTCTTGTTGGGGGGGTTGTGGTCTAGTGAGATAGTTGGAGATCATATAGGGATTGTAGTTGTTGGTGGAATGGGGGTGAGGGATAATGGTTGTGGAAATGGCTTACTGTCGGGTAGTTGTGTCGAAGGTTATGGGTTTGAAAACGTTTGGTCACTCGGGTTTTCTCTAAAGTCTAGTTGATTCTTCTGCTTTCTGTTTCCTGATTGTTGAAAATCGTACGAAGTAGTGCTCTTGCACTTGCTATTTCAAACCAACTACGGACGCCAAGCTATGTACATTGTCTGGCCCACATGTATCGACCTTATGGGTATCTATCTACAGATCCGTCTACATAGGTCTCGCAATTAAGAAAGAGTGATTCCATCTTCATAACATCAATGCACTTCCAATCCCATGCCTTTGCCTATCTTCCGTATCAATGCCCGTTTCAAGAACGCTTCTCGCGCAAGGCCACGCGTGTGACGTGACCAGGTCTCAACACCAATGACACCCTTAACCAGCGCAGCTTGAAGGGCGTAGATAGCCTGCTGGATACCGCGTTCCTCTGCAACCAAGTCATACAATTGTTTGCCGACAACGGTCGGGGCGACGAGAACTTCGTCGATCGGTGGAAGACCCGACGCAACGGGATCTGTGCTCGATGAAGGGGCTGATGATGATATACGGCTTTGCGCATCGGCGATGACGCCATCTGCGCGCATGAGAGATTGCTGCAGGGTTGTGGTGTTTGATTGAAGGGTCGCATTGAGTGTGTTGAGCGACGATACTTCGCCTTGAAGAGTGGCAATTGCCGCATGCAGCGAGTGGGATTGAGAAATCAAGGATTGAGCGGCAGTCTCGGACTGTGAAACATTTGCTTGCAGTGTTTCTGCAAGAGTCTTGGAAACAGCGCGTAGTAAGGCGTCCTTCTCAGGATTCGGTGGAATTGGGGGGGCCGGGCCGGTGGGTGCGAACGAGGGGAGCTCGAGCTCAAAGGGAGAGGTGAGAAGATCTTGCGCCTCTGCCTTGGGATGGGCAGCCGGTTGTTGTGCTTGCTGAAGTCCAGCATGTGGCGACGCTTGGGGTGGGACCTGCTGTGGCGGAGGTCTCTGATAAGCTGCAGGAGGGGCTTGTTGTACGGGGTAGTAAGTATTCTGTTGCGGAAGCCCACGACTCGGATCATCTGGACGAGTAACGGGGGTACCGTTCAATGGCCGGAACTGCCCTGGCCCAGCCTGGTATGCCGGTGTCGACTGGGAGACGTGTTGCGGCTGTTGGGGCAAATGATACTGCCCCGATGCCATTGCAGGTGCTTGACTGCGCTCTGGTGCGTACTGTGGCCTGTTCATGGGACTGCCCATGTTTGCCTGTGGTTGCATCTGTAGCCGCCTAGCATCATGTTCCTTCGGTGGCAATGGGGGTAGCGGAGGGGGTGACGAGTATCGCGCTGAGGACGGAGTGCTCTGTGGTTGTGGCTCAGGTGTCTGCCCAGGCTTGGGGGGCGGCGGCGGTGGCACCTGAGCAGTTACTTGCGGAGAAGCATTCGGTGCACTATGGGTAGGCGACGGCCGATTGATTGTGGTATCAAGCTCCGGAGGCAAAGGGGGTAGAGGAGGTGCTTGTGCCTGTACCTGCGCTGGCGGCGGTCGCGGCTGTACAGGCTGTTGTTGTTTGTATCTCACCGGCGGCTCCTTGGCAAATACCTCACGAAGTATCATTAGGAAATCAATCAAAGATGATCGCTAAGCTAGAGTGTCAGCGATTTGACATGCGCATTGCGAGTGCACGATGACTAACCTCCCATGCCTCAGCCCAGTGTGCCAGATAGTGATGGTACACCCTCCCTTCCAAAGTGACATGCTGACCCACACGAACGGCCATGTCTTGTGTTGGTGTTACATAGACCAATGGTGGTTCCCTGGGGTATGTGTTGGGGATCCATAGTGTGATGGGAAACTTGTAAACAGTGCCGCGGAACGTCACTGGCAACGTGCCGGTCAGTTGGAGGAGGAGGGCGGAGAAACCGTTTTCGTATGCTAGAAGTCAAGGAAATGACGCGGTCAGCAGGAGCGCAATAGAATCGCATAATGGTGGCATACTGTAAACTTCAGTCCTGGGGCCCAGTGAAGGGTATTGACCGAGCACATTGGCTACATCATAGTAGGTGCGATTGGGGTCCTGGTAGGTTTGTCGGGGATCGTAGTGGTCCTATCCTTGTCAGTGGAAGACTGCATGGGCATGTGTTTGGTGACTATCTACCCTGATAAGGACACTGTACAGCCAGTTAAGCGTCCTTTGCGGCACAGCAGCCATGTTGGAGGGGGCGAAGGCGCATGATGGGGAAGTGGGATGGCGGATTTGGAGTTGGAGTGGGAGTGGGAGTGGGAGCTAGACTAGCTGGGCATTGTTGGTGCCTCGCAGCCTCGCTCCACCGCCGCGGCAGTTCCCCGCAACTTCTCCCGCTGACATCTTGATCTATAACATCACCTTGTCAATACTCAATCATTCTTGAAATCTATATCCTAGCGAAAATAAACTCTTTTGGGATGTTTTGGTGATTTAGGAATTGTGCAGGGTCAACGGATGAAGAGTAAAGTGTAGTAAGAAGTTTAGTGCTGTGGCTGGAAGTGGAAGATATAAAAAGGATAGGGTACTAAGCTACGTAGCACTAAATGGCGTGTGGCATCACAAGCATCATTCTCTCGGTTATCATGAACAAAACATGGTACTTGTATCCTACTAGCAGTATCAAAGACTTTCCGTCACCTCACAGTCATGCATAACTTCACTAGTACCTACAGGCCGAAGTTTTATCTGCTGCTACAAAGTCGGTTCTGCCTCCCGGTACTGACTCGCCCCTATCGTGTGGCATTCCATTACCCCCAACCCCCAAACCAATAGTATAGTAATGGTGTTAGCTGGGGGCCTGGAATTGACATGAGTCTGGAAGCTCTCCAGACACTTGATTTTAGCTGACCTCATTGCTAAGCACTCATAGGCGATGGCGCAAAAGCGACTAGATTTTAGATGATATTACGACTACCAATAGCTTGATGGGAATCCCCAAAACACCCGACAATTTCGCGAGAGATACGTATAGCCAACCATTTAGCTTTGGGCCAAGGTGTTTCAGCCCGAACGCATTCTACATGGAATAACACATAATCAGGCTATCCAAAGGACTAAGGCCTATTTACTCCAGGAAACCATTGCGCTGCTCAGGACATACAATATGGGAGCGGCGGGTTCTCATTCCCA